GAAAAAATTATTTTTATATTTAATGCAAGAGGTGTCAAAGAAAAAATTCAACACACTCAATTCTCTGGAAGATCAGCCATACTACAGGGAAAATCTCTATGTCCCTTTCTTAGTCTCCACCTTGAAAGTACACCCAGAGGTCACTAATGAAAATCTGTAATAGGGCGCTGAGACCATTCCCACTTGTATCGAGTTTTGCCTCAGCGGCACTAGTTTTCATCCAAATTACACCAAAGGTTGAAAGGTTAGTATGTGATTGAAAGGCTCCTTTATCTAAAGAGATTATTTTAATGTAGTAACAATCTTGAAGCTCAGTGGGGTCCACTTTATGAAGAAGAAAGGCATGAAAGAATTCTGAACTCATAAAGAACCATTGTTGCAGCAGCTGAGGGATGCTGTGTTTTGTTTTGTTTCATAAAGAGTTCCTTGTAAGTTGACTACTAGCTAAATTCCAAGCATTTCCCACAATTTTATTTTCCCCCTTTAGGGGAAATCATGATCAGGATATTTATCTACCAATGTCATCTGGGGAGGTCGGGGGGAAGGCCACTCGTATTATTCTGAATGGGTCTATTATAAATGGAGCTTTTGATCAACATTTCATTGCCACTAAAAGTGAAATGAGTCACAAAATGTTTGAATCATTGCATTGGCCAAATTGGAAAATAGTATTTTTTACACTTTCTTCTTACATACAACACAAGCAAAGTGCTGAGTCATTAAGACATATTTCGAGGCCCTAACAAAAATAGGCCATGCGGAGTCCTATCTTGAATCCTGCCTGAAACTTTCCAAACTTACACTGCCAGTAAAAAGCACCTCCCAGAGTAAACAAATGTGACGCGAAGGAAAAAGGGCATGTTGTAATCTGTTAACAACAGTATGATTAAGCTTTCTAACAATGAAGTCACATCTTGTGAGACCATTAGCATGATCCGAGAGAGGAAACGGGCCACGTTGGGCACTGCTGTTGGTGATACATAGGGTGTCTCGTAGCTTGCTCTCTGTTTTCTATACCAGAGGAAGTCCAAACGTGGTTGTTGGCCCATGCAGTTGGTTCTCACTCGTAGCAACCCTTGTCCAGTAGAATAAACACTGAGTCAAAGCACCCGTCCTGGCATCCTGGAGAGAGTCAAATTGTGTTCCTTTACATTTACTTGTTTGAATGTGCTCAACACAGTGGATGTATGTACGGACTGTGGTAAGAATTGTATGAGCCCCCAATAAAATGATTAAAATTTTTGTTTTTATTTGAGGACCAAAAAAGAAGTGTGAAGGGCAAAGGTCAGGCCTGTAGGGCAGATGGGGAAAGGTTTACCAGTGAAGTCCTCCTAAGACAGCCTGTGCTAGCCTGGAAGAATGAGCAGGTGCATGGTCGTGGTCGACAAAGATTCCCAGGTATAACTTCCCTAGCCTTTTCCTACCCAGCACAGTTTTCGATTTTCATAACCCTTTTCCTGATAAGACCTGTGATTTTCTGGAGTCCTCTGAGAAAAGTCAATCAGCTGGACTCCTTTGAAACCCCAAAGAAACAGTTATCATAACCTTCTGAGCTGACCCTTCTGCCCAGAAAATCCCCTAGGAAGTCACTTAGGTATTTATTTTCTGGGAGGCTCCCCAACAAGACGAAGACAAGTGGACGCCCGAGAGAACTTGTCTGCAGCCAACCACTGATGACTGAGACGACACAATAGGACCGTTTTAGTCGGAATAAACCTGTGCTTGCCTGAATTGGAGCCCTAGTAGCAATGCCTTTTTACTTACCCTTCATACGCTAGGGCCCCAAACACAGCACAACTCAACCACGACAGAGTCATCGAGTCCCCAAAGGGTGGCAAGCAACGGGGCTGCGTGAGGCATTCAGCATCAGGCACAATCTTACATACGCTCTAGAAATGAACTCATTTGTTCCTCACAAAAACTCTGGGGTGGGTGCTAGGTGTTAGCCTTCCTTTCTATTTTATTTTTCAGTACTTTTTATTGTGAAACGGAGGGTTTACTGAGTGTTAACCGGTTTAAAGACGAGAAAGTAGGCACAGAGGTGTAAAGAATGCTTTCCATGGCTTATAAATAAGAGATGGAATCAAGATAGAATCCGCATGCATTAGCTTAGTTTATCCCAATAACGCTACGGTGCAGATGGGCAGAACGCTGGCGCCCCGTTTTAAAGGTGAGGGAAATTGAAAATCTGCAGAACAAAGTCTGGCTTCCTCAGAGTCCTGCAGCCTGGAGGTGACAGGGCAAGAACAGGACCCAGGGCATCTCACCCTGA